AGATATGGTTCGCACTAGCAATCTCCACACTTGAGGCAGGAGGATTACCTCTTGTTAAAGGCTGGCATGGGCTAAGGTATAAGACTCTTTCTCTCAATAAAATCAACTAACCAGCTGGGCATGGTTGTGCATGCTTTTAATCCCAGCACTCAGGAGGCAGGGGCAGATGACTCTGTGAGTTTGAGGCCCGATCTTCATAGTGAGTTCCAGGTCAGTCAGGGCTGCATAGTGAGACTGTCTCAAATAAGGGGGCCGGGGTGCTAGAGAGATAGCTCAGCAGTTAAGAGCACTGGCTGCTCTTGTAGAGGACCCAGATTTGATTCATAGCACCTACATAGCAGCTAACAACTGTCCATAATTCCAGTTCCAGGGGAATCTGACTCCCTTCTCTGACATCAGTGGGCATTTCACAGCATGGATGCACATACGTACATGTAGGCAATACACTCATACACATAAAATAAAAATAATAAAATATTAAAAAATCAGCTAACCAAACCAAAAAACATAGGAGTGACTTTATGGGAGCTGATAGCTGAGAGTCCCAGGCTAAAGGGAGGGCTGGGGTTGAGAAGTAGTCTGTGAGTTCTAGGAAATGAATAAAACCCAAGTAGCCCAAGAAAGGACAGGTCAGGGGGGCAGGCAGAAGCATGGGACAGGAACAGGGAACTGCATTTCTTCTAGGAACTATGGGAAATGATGGAAAGGTTTTTAAAAAGATTTTATTTTATTTTTATATGTATATGTGTGTGGTTTTGTACATATAAGTGCAGATGTCAGAGGAAGCCAGAAGAGGACATCAGATCCCCTGGAGCTGGAGTAACAGGTGGTTGTGAGCTACCCTATGTGGGTACTAGTAACCAAACTCTGGTCCTTTGCAAGAACACTACTTATTTTAACTACTGAGCTATCTCTCAGCCCCATTCTACTGGAAGATTTTAAGAAGGAAAGTGTCCAGTTGTTGCAGCGTTGTCTCCTTCTGCAGCTTTCACTGGTAATGGCTAATAACAACCCAGAGGAAAGGAGAATGGCATGTTGGAGGCTTGGTGGTGACAGATGACGGCCCAGACTGAAACCTAGGACTCTCTCCAACCAGTGACTACACATCCACTCACCCCATAACTCCCAAAATGCTTTAGTTGGGCCTGATAATCATGATCTTATTCACACCACTGCCTGAAGGGCAGGAAAAATCCCCTACTCCTCTCCTTCAACCCTAATAGATTTGGAGTTTTCCTAAAGACATGTTTCCCAGGAAAACATAAAAGCTGTGGACGGCAAGCTAAGTTAGAGCACAGCTTGCTGTTTGTCCTTATGACTTCATTCAAGTGCATTTCACATGCCATAAAGTTTCTCCATTTAACAACTACGTGAATTTTAGTATATTTGCAGGTATATGCAGTCAACACTGTAGTCTAATTTTAGAATATTTTCTTTTTAAAAATATTTTATTTCTTCCTACAGATAAGAGTTATGCAATTTGGGAGTCTTTTAGATAGACCCACTGAAGGGTTACCCCGATTGCCTCACCCTGAGTCCCTGTTCAGCGTGGAAGAAGCCAGAGTGGTCTGTGTCCTGATTTCCTATCAGCAGTTTGGGTAACCTCTTCAGAGGATGATGTAATAAGAATAAGAGTTCAAGGCCAGCCTGCTCTACATAGTGAGTTCCAGGACAGCTGGGGCTACAGGGAGACCCTGTCTCAAAAAGTCCAAAAAAACAAACAACAACAACAACACAAAAAAGGAGGTAGGAATTGGTTAGGCAGTTAGGGTAAAAAGACCCCAAAGAAAAGTAGCCAGTTTCTTGGGTAAAAGTCAAAATGTCCTTGGGCCTCTTAGCAACATACTCTGTTCCAAAGGCCAAAAATGTCAAAAGTATTTGGGAGTTCTTATCTAATCGCTAAAAGATTTTAGGGTTACCCTTCAGAGGGGCGAATGTTAGAGTAGCAAAAGCCCCATTTAAAAAGAAAGAAAGAGAAAGGAAGGAAGGAAGGAAGGAAGGAAGGAAGGAAGGAAGGAAGGAAGGAAGGAAGGGTACACAAAATTGTCAGAAAAACATGATGGGGATGTTGGAGGGGAGGGAGTGGGCCTGGATTTGATCAAAACACCTTATATGCACATATGAAATTCTCAAAAAAGTTTTTTAAAAAATTTATTTTTATTTTATGTGTATAAGTGTATTGCCTATATGTGTGTACGTGCACCTAATGTTGTGCATTGTCCGTGGAGGTCAGAAGAGTGGGTCAGATCCCCTGGAACTGGAGTTACAGACGGTTGTTAGCTGTCATGTGGGTGCTGGGAACCGAACCTGGGTCCTCTGCAAGAGCAGCCAGTGCTCTTAAGCACTGAGCCATCTATCCAGCCTTTAGAATAGCTTCAATATCCCCCAAACTCTGACCCCCCAAAACTGTCACTCCTCACTTCAGCTCCTTCCTCTCTGTCACCCCATTCCTTCCCTGATTACTCATCTATTTCTGCATGGATTCTCTAAATGATTTACAGGGATGATGGAAGAATCACACAGCAGGTACTGGCTTTTCTCGCATCAAGTTTGCAAAGGCCATCTATGTTAAAGCAGGGATCAGTACTTCATTCCTTTCCCAGCTAAGCAGTTGTCCAGTGTGTATGTTCCAGGGATATTTATGTGTGCATCAGTTACTTGACCTTTATGTTGTTGGAACATGAATGTTCAGGTATGTGTATGTGTTATGTACGTGGTGGTGGCGGGGGGGCTCACGTGTGCCACAGTATGTGTATGGAAGTCAAACAACTTTTGGGAGTTGGTTATTTCCTTCTAACTTCACATGGGTTCTGGGGATGGAGTTTTGGTTGTCAGTCCTGTACAGCAGGCATCCCACCCGCCGTGTCATCGCACCTGCCCTCTGTGGTTCACATTTTGAGGAACTGCCACACTGTTTTCCAAAGCAGCAGCTCTAGTTTCCATTCCCACCAACCATTTAAGGGGACTTTAATTTCTCTACATCTTTGTCAATTCTCGTTTTTGTACTGACATTGCTCTATCATCTGTTATCTATTTCTAGATTATATATATATTAATATATATATATATATATATGGTCTTTTTTTTTGAGACAGGGTCTCCCTGTAGCCCCAGCTGTCCTGGACCTCACTATGTAGATCAGGCTGGCCTCGACTCACAAAGATCCGCCTGCCTCTGCCTCCCAAGTGCTGGGATTAAAGGCGCACACCATCACGCCCAGTCTCCCTCTCTCTTTCTTTCTTTCTTTCTCTCTCTCTCATCATCTATCATCGATCTATTTTTTTTTTTCGGTCTTTTTGAGACAGGGTCTTCCTGTAGCCCCAGCTGGCCCAGAACTCACTATATACATCAGGCTGGCCTCAAATTCACAGAGATCCACCTGCCTCTGCCTCCCAAGTGCTAGGATTAAAGGTGTGTTGCACCACACCCAGCCCTCTATCAATATATTTTGGAGACAAGGTCTTCTGTATCCTAGGCTGGCCTCAAACTTTCTATGTAGCAGAATACACTGAAAGTTTTATTCTCCTGCTTCCTAAGTGCTGGGATTATAGGAATGTGTCAGCACACCCAGTTTATGTGATGCTTGGGATTGAACTTTGTGTACTCTGCCAACTGAGCTACATCCTTCCTCAGCCCCTCAGCCATCTATCTTTTTTAAAAATTTTATTTAAATTTATGTATATGTTTTGCCTGCATATATGTAAGTACACCACATGTGTGCAGTGCTGAGCTAGCTCATTGGCCTAAGTTCTCTTAATTTGTAATTTAATTCCATTGTGATTGAGAACAAGCTTTGTATGATTTCCCTCCTTATGCATGTGTTGAGGCTTGTTTAAAGCCTAGGACATGGTTGGGCCACATATTGCTCAGTTTCCTTTCAATCCTATGAGTTTTCATGCATTTTTGGTTTCTGTTGGGAATACATATGCTTTATCTTCAATTGATTTGTATGTCTTTTTTTTTTTTTTTCTTGTCTTTTTGAGACAGAGTCTCCCTGTAGCTCCAGCTGACCTGGAACTATGTAGACCAGGCTGGCCTTGAACTCACAGAGATACACCTGCCTCTGCCTCCCAAGTGCTGGGATTAAAGGCGTGCGCCACCACGTATATGTAATTTTTGAATGCCCTTGTACCTAGTTACAAATTGTGTCTTAAAGTCCATTTTCTCATGTGTTTGTATGGTAGATCTGCCAGCAATGAATTCCCTTTAGTTTTTCTTTACCTAGAAGTGTTTTTGTTTCTCCTTTGTTTTTGAAAATGAGAATGAGTTTGAATTTCTCTAAAGTCTACTACAGCCTGCAGTAAGCCACCTGTGGGAACCCTACCACAGGGCTGGGAACCCTACCCTTGTATCTTCTCTGGACTTGGGCTCAGTCTGGTTCCACCACTTATTAGCAGAGAGGCTTGGTATGTCCTGCCCCGTGCCTCAGTTTCCTCACATCCAGAATACAGTGATAGCACTGAGCTCAAGAGTGTTGGAGGTGTATTTAGGACAAAACCCTTGTGGGTGCTAAAACCGCACAGACCCAAGTTCTTAGCTTACATGGGGGTAGGAGCAGTTACACAGCCATGACAGAAGGGAGCCTGCTCCATGCTGTAAGCTTACACATACAACCGAGAGAGTAGACAACCCCTGTGCTGTCCTGTGGTGACACTTCGTGGGCCTGGAGTGCCAATAGTCACAGCTGGCCAAGGCTCTTGACTGCTGGGTAGTACCGGAGGCCACTCTGAAGGCCTGAGAAGCAAGGAGCCTCACAACTGCCTGGCCTCTGCTGGTATGCCGTGTGTGCCTGAAGGCCTGCCGCGCTACCTCCCAGCATGCCTGTCACTGCTCATACCACTCTCCTGGGACACAAAAAGGCACCAAGAGTAAGTTTCCTCCACCTTACTCCCCAGCCCAGCTGCCCTCCTTCCAAGGGCATGCACCTTACCGATCTCCATCCCAATCCTGCTCTGACCCTCTCCCCATCCCAAACAAGTGAGACAGATGATTTATGCCTGAGGAAGGCCATTTATTTCCAAGATATAGACTGTAGACAGGACTTTTCAGAAGCAGGAAATTTTAGTTGTTGCCTAGAGAGGTGTGTCAAGGACACAGTGGGAGGAGCCATGCGGACCTGGGGGCTTTATCCAACACTGTTACAACACTTTTTAAAATGAGCAAAACATCTTTTAAAATCCTTATAAATTCTTTATAATATGTTACACATTAGAGACAATATTTACAATAAAAGGGAGGGGAGGAGAGAAATCGACTTTACAGCAAATCTTTGCATAAACCAAGACTGACAGATGGGTAGTGGGGTTCGAACCTCCACTGGGGTGTCCCTGGAATGAGTGAGGGTGGAGGGAGGGCTGGTGCTCTGAGGTTTATTTACAATGTGGGGAGAAGGGGAGTTGGGTCCCACCCATCCTACAGGAACAGCCCAGCTCAGACCCCATAAATTGGTGTGTGAGAGACAGAGTGCTCCTGACTGTTCTCTCCTAAGGGGAAGAAGGTGAGGATCTGTGTGCTGAGCTGTGTAAGCAGGCGAACTGGAAGGAACACTGAGAAAGGTGCCAGCTGCAGGGCGGACCCTGGACCCCCAAAACTGGGGAGCAGGCAGGTCCAACGGTCAAAGAGCTTTAGAGGGGTGACTGTGGAGCGGCCTCAACCCCCACCTGGGCTCTGATCAGCATGGGGATAAGGTGACAGGAAACACCAAAGGCAGGGGCCTAGCTGGGGGACAGGCAGGGGAATGAAGGGGTTGGAGTAGAAGTTGCTACTGGGGACATCTTCTGCACAATGACTACACACACTCACACACACAAACTCCATCTCCCACAGCCACCCAACCTTACACAGCCTCTCCTCAGACACACGCTCCCCCTCCTTGGCTAGGAGCTAATGGGGGAGGGCAGAGGACATAAGCAAAAGCTGGCCTGTCTTTCCTTCAGTCTGAAACTTGGGCTCTCTCCCCACACCCCATGGTCCATCAGGGTGCCTAAGTGGAGTCACAGAAAAGGGCCACTCAGGCCTATATCCGGGGGACATAGAGTCCAGCAGCCCCTCCCCTCTCCGGGGGGGGGTCCACTCTCTTCCGGTAACTCCCTCTGTCCAGCTCTGGCTTCTTCTCTGCCCACCCCTTCTAACTCCAACACACAGCACCAGGACCGCCCTGAAGTTTCGGGAGGACTGGATCCTCCTGCCGCACCCGAGGGGACGCCTGCTTCCCAGGGGGGCTGCGGGAGGCCGGGATCTGGGCGGTGCAGGATGACGGCAGGTGTCACAGACACTGGTGGAGGCGAGCGGTAGCCGAGCGGCGTGGGGGCTGGCCCTGCAGGACCCCCGGGTCTCCCGACGGCAGCGAGACGGCCGACGAGGCCCGCGCCTTGGTGGACTCGAGGCTGCTGAGGCCGGAGTCCTTGTTGTCACTGTGCGCTCGAGCGCCCGCGGGCTCCGAGGCGCCGCCTCCGCCCAGCTCCTTCCACTCGTTGAAGTTGAGGTCGGTGATCGGGCTCTGCACTACCACCGTGTGGCGCCGCCAGCTGCTCCGGCGCCGCCGCGTCTCAGGGGACAGCGGCCTCCGCAGCCGCACCGCCAGCATGTCGTCGGCGGTGCCGCGGAGGCGCAGGCGCAGGGCCTCCATGCGCGAAGGTCTCGAGGCGAGCGCCGGGCCGGCCGCGGGGGGGCGCAGCGACTCCTGGCTGCTGGACGAAGCCGAGCCTGGCGTCTCTGGGCCACCGGGACCCGCCCGGACCGCGGCCGCGCCCTCACCGTCCGCGCGGCTTCGGGACAGGCGGCGGCGCGCCAGCGTGTCGCACGGCATGAGGTGGTGCGAGCTGAAGGACGGCCGGCGAGTCAGGCGTCCCCCGGGGCCCGCGCAGCCCTCCGTGTCCGTCTCCACGTGGCTCAGCTCGCTGCGCTCATCGTCCGCCTCGTCGCCCGCGCCCGCCCGCCGCCCGCCCGCGCCCGAGCACACGCTGCGGTCCATGGTGGACAGAGTGGAGTAGCCGGACACGATGGAGCGCGTGTCCGCCGCAGGCCGCTCGTCAGGCGCCGTCGGGGGGCTGAGGTGACCAGGGTCCTGCGCGGCTTTGGGGCCCAACGGCTGGCTCTGGAGTGGCTGGAGCGTCGCAGGCGCCCCCGCTGCGGCCTTGTGCGCCTCCTGCTCGGAGTCGTCGTCGGTACTGCTGCCCAGGCCCCGCGTTTCCCGCCGCTTCTTCCGCTTGCGGTTGACCGCTGAGATGAAGGAGATCGCCAGCATCTCCCGGGTGTAAGGCTCTTTCTTGGGGGCCCAGGAACCCTGTGCGGGGAGACGGTGAGGGTGAGGAGGGCCTCGGCAACCCTCCAACCTCCACCCCATACCCCGGCATCCACGCCCAAACCAAACCAGTACCCACACCAGCGTATGAGACGTTTCCCCTCCACTCCGTGTCAGCTGGAATGTCACCATCCACCCAGGGACCACCCCAGGGCCCCCTTACCTCCATGTCAGCATCCCCTCTGATCCCAACCCCAGCTCAACTCTCCTGGGAGCTGAGGAGGATTCCCATCCCCCATCCCCCCCACCCAGCCACTTCCCGGGTCTATGTCCTGCCCCAGATAAATCCTGCTAGAACCATGGATGACAGTCTGTGGCACTGTGGCAATCTGAGCCCACTTCTGGTATGAGATCCCAGGTGCCAGCACTTCATGCACACCAGTCCCCAACAGGCAGGGTCTTTGGCTGTAAGCACCTTACCTTGTCACTCACACCCCATGTGGGAAGCCTTCCTTTCCAAATCAAGTCCTCCTTTTTCCACCCCCTGGGTAAGAGCCCCTCCTTCCAACCCCTGCTGGGCCCACTGGTCTAACTTACACCAGCTCTTAATGTTAAACACCACCATGGCTATTTTGGTCTGGGCAGTCCAGCAGGCCCAGGACAGACTTGCTGCCCATCACAGCATTTTGGACCTGCTTTCCACCTCCATTTTGCCTTCTGGCTTCTTGAAGGCATTCCCAGGACTCTGTTCTCAGGCCCTTTCTCTCCTCTGTGTGTGTCTTCTGGAAAATACTACTCCCAACCACCATACCAGGTCACTCTGTCTCACACCAAACTCTGCTTTGAGCTCCAGACTCTTCTTCCAACTGAATCCATCTCTATCTGGTATCTGTTCATACCCTAAATCCACCCAGGTGGAGCTATACTATCCCATCTACGTGTTCCAAACAGCCTCTATTGTCTTTAAGGGGCCATTTGGTCCCCTTCTGACAGGCTCCCTATCTCCACCCTTGCCCCACCCAGCCCTTCCCACTAAAGAGGCTCAGAAGCAGGACTGATTTCCTCCCAGCTTTGCTCCAGATTGCATGACTCTGCCCCTCACAACCTGGAACCAACTTCTCCCTAGCCTAGTGCCCAGACCCCAGTTCCAACCCAGTCTCTACTCTGGAGACTGCCCTACCAACCTTTTTTCTTTCTTTAAAAATTTTTATTATTACTATTATTATTTGTGTGTGTGTATGTGTGTGTGTGTGTGTGTGTGTGTGTGTGTGTGTGTATGTTAATCAGAGAACAACCTTGTGGAGTCAGTTCTCTCTTTCCACCCTTAGGTGGGTAGCAGGGATCAAACTCAGGTTGTCAGGCTTGTATAGCATGTGCTTTACCTGCCAAGCCATCATGCTGGCTCTCTATCCTTCCTATGAAGTGATTTTCACTTTGACATGTCTGGCATTCCTTACTGTTTCTTCATCCTATGTGTGGGATCATTGGATCAAACTACCCTCCTCATTCCAGCTGGTTCCAGTGCAACAAGGTCAGTGATCTCTCTCAGGAACTGCTGAGCCAGCAGATTCACAGAAAGAAAAGATGGCAATCCAGAGGGAACTTGAGGGCTAGCAGGAGCAATGAGCCTAAGTGACAAGGAGCCAGATGCAGGTCTCCCTGCCATAGTGACCTTAGAATGAGGCGCCCTGTCACTGGAGGTGTCCAGAAGGAGGCTCTATGGAGAGGTTAGTGAGGATGGTGGCATCGGACTCTAGAAGGCTTGCTTTTGCTTAATGCAGGCATGTGAACACTGCCAGATACCAGGAGTGGGCCTGGAGCGGGCTCTCAGGAACCTGGCTAGTCTGAGCCACCTTAGGCAAAATTGAGTTCACCCATTGCTATGGACTGCTATGTCCCTCACCAAAGTTGTATTGGTATTTGGAGATAGTCCTTTGGAAGAAAATTAGGTTTCAAAGACGTGAGTGTGAGGCCCTATGATGGGATTAATTGATTAATCTCTTCTTCCCTCCCCTCCCTTTCCCTCTCACTGGGACCAGTGAAGACAGCGTTCCTAAAAAAGCAGAATGGAGCCTTCACAGGAACCCAACTTGCTACCACCTTGAACTTGGGTTTCTAAAGCTCCTAAAACTATGGGAAGCATTCATTTTTAAGATTTTCATATATATATATATATATATATATATATATATATATATATATATATATATGTGTGTGTGTGTATCTGTGTGTCTGCCATGTATGTTCAAGTGTCCAAGGAAACCAGAAGGTGTTGGACCCTTTGGGGCTGGAGTTACAGTGGTTGTGAACGGCCCAACACAGGTGCTATGAACTGAACTGGGCTCCTGTGGAAAAGCAGTAAGAGCTCTTAACCGTTGAGCCATCTCTGCAGCTCTGAGTATTCACTGTTTAAGCCACCCAGACAAGCTACTTTGTTATAGCAGTACAAGCTGACTAAGATACCTTTCCTGGCCATCAACTTTACTCTTTAACACTTGGGCTGACAGCTGTTACCAGCTGGGAAGATGTTATCAATGGGGTTGTCTCAGAAGGCAAGGGCTAGTGCCTTGCACTGTGAGACCTAGGGGCAAGCTACAAAAGTTCTTACCTGTAAAATAAGGATACCACTGTCTCCAGCTCAGAGCATTTGTGAGATCGGCATTCTGAGCCCAGTGATGTAGCGAGTGCTCACTCAATGGTGGCTGTTGGTATGGATGGGTATTTTAAACTCAGGCATCACTGGCGACAGGAGGCAGCACTGAGGACTGAACCAATGCCGCTGCAAGCAGAGCAATGACTGATCACAGGCTCCATAGAAAAGCTGTAAACTGGAAGCCCAACGGGTCTGCACTCTGAGCCTCAGTGAATTCGCTGCAGGGGCTTTGTGTGTAGGTCCTTCTGGAGCAAGGGTGCACAGCTTTCCTCTGATTTTTGAAGTTATCTGAGACTCAAAGTGTATAAGGAGAAAGAAATCCTTCTTTCCAGTGTGTGTAGTTTTTCACAGGTAATTCTCTTTTAGGGTCAGAGAGAGGTCACTTCTGGAGCTTAGGACAGGCTGAAGGGACAAGAAACCTGTGGTACAGTGGGTTGAGGCAGTGCTGTGGAAGCCAGATAGCCCAGCGGGGGATGGAGGAGCGAGCCTTGGGCTGCTTGCTGTGGGCTGTGTATAGAACTGTGTGGGAGAAGAAAAAAACAGACCCTATCCTCATGGAATTTGGACTTCTGGGTGATATTCTGGAGCCACAGCAAGAGCTGGGAGTTTGTGCTATGCCCTGGCCTGCATTCCTGTCAGGAACAGTCAAAACCATCCTCACAGGGAGGAAGCATCACGGTATAATTGTAATTTAGAGTGCTCACAGTACCTTGGTGCACTCAGCCTGGGGGAAAGACTAGAACATGGCTTGTGATAGGCCTGGGACCCTTCTGCTCAAATAGAACCCTCTTGAAAATCCCAGATGAGTGAAAGAAAAGAGAAGAGCGGTCTGCCCTGTGGTTCCCCCGACCTGTTGATGGTATTGACCCCAACAAGGCTCTGGTGAACACATTGGACAGCCACTGATTTTGGAGTCAGGCAGCAGCCAGAGGCTGGCAGTGGTGAGTCTCCAGCACCATACAGATATGGTCACTACCCTTAGGAACTCACAACTGGCTGGGGGACCAGGACCTCATGTCCAAGATGACTGGTGCCTTCTCTCTGGAATCTGACTCTCAGCATCCCCAATGGATTATACTGCAGAGACCACGTGCTGTACACAATTCGAAGTCTCTGTCCTTGTGACAGTTATTCCTGTGACTTAAACTGGCAGCCTGGCCTGTGCCTCAGTTTCTCAGGTGCTTAACTAGCTGTTTTATACTCATGTTGAGAATAGCCCATGCCCCAAAGCAAGTAACACACCAATCCTGAAAGCAGAGGTCAAAACTGGGACCCCAAAGCATTCACCAAGGAAAAGAGGCCACCTGACCAGCTCCCACCCTTTGATGCCTGAGAACATGCTCAAACTTCTAGTTACTTGAACTCTGAGTATTAGCTTTCCTAGCTATAAGATGAGGATGGCACAGAATTCAAGGGTCTTTGGTAAGGTTGGCATGAAGTAGGTGTGGGTGAAAAGTGCACAGCTGCTGGCACCCAGGAAGTTCCCTAAATTCACTTCTCTTGCCTCACACTGCTGATTGAATAACTCACCAGGGTCATAGAAATCTGAGTCCATTTACAGCAGAAGCATTTTCTCAAAAGTATACTCTATATATGTCTGAGGCTCTGTGGTTAAACAGAGGAACTCCTCAGGAGCCCCCAGGCTAACACAGGGATCAGGCAGGCCCAGAATCTGGGGAAGCCAAAATTCTAGACCTGGAGGCTTTAGGGAAGCAGTAAGGAAATATCTGTTGCAGATAGGTGAGGTTGTAGGGGACAATGAGGAGGCTTCTGCCTAGGGAGCTCTCTTACAGGTCAAGAGGGCTGTCAGGCATGCAGATGGCTGGAGGGTGGGGGCACAGCCTTCCGAGACCTCCACCCTGCCTATGAGGCTTCTCAGCTCCTTTGGGAAATGCCCTTGGCTTCCTGAAACCCATTTCAGACTTTTACTTCGTCCAAATCTGCCCTGCTCACTCAGAGCTGAGGTCCTCACCTACTTCCTGGAAAGAAGAGCCATCAGCTGGGGGTACCCCACTATCCAACTCTGCAAACCTGCCCCCTGCCTTGGGCTACCCTGGGCAGGTAGGTGTCTTCTGCCTGGGGGCTCTGTCCCACCTCTTCTCACACAGAGTTCTCTTTACTCACATGGCTTTGCACATCTGAACATTTCTTCACTGCTAGGCTTCTCATGTCTGCTCAGGCTTCTATCTAGATCTCCCAAGACCTGTGAATGTGATCTGACTTCTGCCTCCACCGTGCCCCAAGACCTCATCCAGCTAGTGCCATTTACTCACTGGCGCAATGCCAGAATCCATTCCAAAATAAGCCTCATAAGGCCAGAAGCCTATCCACTCAGCTCCTTCTAGCCTCAGTACTAAGCACAGTGCTGCCATGCAGGGGAGGTTCAATTAGGGTTTGTAGTGTGACTAAATGAATAACCCTATTTCCAGAGACACTGGCGGCCTTAGATATCAGGGTAATGCTGGCATCATAGAATGAGCTGGAAAGTATCCCTGCCTCTTCTATTTTTTGGAAGCAATTGTGGAGAATTGATAGTATTTTTTTTAAGATTTATTTTTATTTTATGTGTATGTATGAGTGTCTGTGTGTATGAATGTGTACCAGATTTGTACCTGGTGTTTACAAAGGATGTCAGGTCTCCTGGAACTTTAGATACAGGTGGTATTAGCTGCCATGTAGTTGCTGGAAACCAAACCTGGGTCCTTTGCAAGAGCAGTAAGTGTTTTAACCCCTGAGCCTGATCTTCAGCCCCTATGGTAGTATTTTAATGTAAGCAATTAAATACCATTTTTTAGGTTTATTTTAATTATTTTTATGATTTATGTGTATGTGTGTGCTGCATGTGCACATGCCATGTGGGTACCCATGAAGGCCAGAAGAGGGCATCAGATCCCCTGGACCTGGAGTTACAGGCAGATGTGAGCTACCTTATATGGGTGCCAGGAACTGAACTCTGGTCCTCTACAAGGGCAGTATGTGCTCTTAATGGCTGAGCCATCCCCCCATCCCCTAAATATAATTTAAATAATTATTTAAATACTAGACAAACATAGTTGTGGGTTACTGTGGGTCTCTTGATGGTGAGGATACATTGTGAGAAATATGCCAGGAGATGATTTCATCACTGTGTGAACATCATAGTGTGTACTGACATAAACCTGACAGTATTAATCTACTATACATCTAGGTTGTACAGGTCCACTTTCATACATGTGACTCAACTGTTGACCAAAATGTCATTGTGTAATGGGAGACTATATTTAAATTATACTATTTTATATTTAATAAATTAATACATTATAAAGCTATTTAAATAAATTATTTAAAATAAACAAGCCAGGCATGGTGGTGTACACCTATAATCCCAGGACCCAGGAAACAGGCAGGAAGGTCACAAGTTTGGACTACATAGAGACCAGCTCAAAAATAAATAAATAAATGGCTGGGCAGGAAAACAAGCTTGCTGCCAAGCCTGACAACCTGAGTTCAACCTGGGACCTAGAGGGTGGAAAGCAGGCAACTCCTGAAGGTTGTCTTCTGACCTCCACACATGTATCATGGCACACACACACACACGTACAGACACATATACATACTCACTAAATAAATGTAATTCATTTAAAATTTTTTTCTTGGTTTTTTTGAAACAGGGTCTCCCTGTAGCCCCAGCTGGCCTGGAACTCATTATATAGACCACGCTGGCCTGGATTGCTGCCTGCCTCTGCCTCCTGAGTGCTGGGATCAAAGGCGTGCACCACCCCGCTCAGCCTTTCCTCTTTATTATCCCTTCTTTCTGCTCAGTTAGGCTCTCCCACAGATCCCTCTTGTTTTGTTTTGTTTTGTTTTGTTTTGTTTTGTTTTGTTTTGTTTTGTTTTGAGAAAAGGACTTGCTATGTAGCTCTGGCTAGCCTGGAACTATGTAGCCTAGGTTATCTAGCCACCATTCTTTTAATTCTCTTGACCTGATGCCAAAGCGGCTGTCTTGTATGGGGTGAAAGCCTTTAGAAAGCCTTGGCACTTACCTTGGACTTGGCTGAACTGCAAGTGGTAGAATCTGTTGGGGAAAGAGAAGAAAAACAAAAACACCAAAACTGGAAATTAGACCGGGCAAAAGAAGTCTGAAACGTGCGAACATGTTTCCCTTGCCTCAAAGGTTCATAAACGAGGGCATTCTCCCCAGGCCCTAGCAGTGCGATTGGTTCTGCTGCTGGCATTTTCTATGGATTGGGCAGAAGCAGAAAATTATATCCACCACCATTTTTTTCGGAGGCAGGAAGTGACATCAGACTGCAGGCCTCTGGGCCACCATTTGCCCAGGGCTGAAGACAAAGGAGGCTTTTCTTTGGACCTCCCCTCCTCCTCCTGCCCTGTTAGTCTGAAGCACTGGAGAGAAAATGCCAGTATCAGATGCAGTCCACAGAAACCACAATGGTGCAACACAGCAGATCACAGATGCTCTGGAGACATGGAGACCACATGGTGCACAAAGAAATGGGTGCCTCACCCCCAAGACATGAGACGGAAGAGGGACCACACTTATCAAGTAAAGGAGCAGAAAATGAGGTGGGAAGGGACACAGGGAGCACAGTGGGCTGGTGACAGAGCCAACATCAACCTGCCCTTAAGGGGCAAGGTCCCCTTTTAAACCAGTCAAAGTCATCACATCTGTGGGACTAGGTCCCACTCCTCCTTAGTATTCTTGAATGGGTAGGCACCAGATAGGTACCCGATAACAAGACCTGGCAATGTCCTCTCCAAGGTTGGAGAGGAAGCAGGTTGGTCCAAAGGCCTTCTGGGATAGCAAGCAGGTGCGGTTAATCCACACTCTGGCAGGCAGGTTAGAGGCCCCTCCCCAGCCCCCTCCCCCTGCACATGGTGAGAAGAGCAAGAATGGCTGACCACACTGGACACACACTGGGCAGGCGGCAGCAGGTGATTAGAAGAGACGGGGGCTCCTCTCTGCCCCACCCCCAGCCTGTACCTTATAACCAGAGCTGCTGTGGGGCTCTCTCTCTGGGACAGGAATTGGACATGCAGCAGCACAACCACAGTGTGGGAGGAGCTAGTAGCTGGGGTCAAGAAGGGAAGGGACCACTTATTTGCCTCTGAGAAAAGAAGTCATCTGTCCTCTGCTCTGAGGTCCCTGGAACAGGACTTCCAGGTTGAGTGACCAGGGCTTGAACTGAGGTAGGAGCTGTTACTCTAAAGTGGCTTCTAGAGGTGGCATCACTGGTCCCTGCTGAGCTTCCCTCATCCTGGTTAACCCGAAGTGGTTACTCTGCAGAGAGGCCACAGAGCTCAGGGGCTAGGAAGGGCAGCCATCCAGGTTTCCAGGACAGAGGCACGGGAACAGGAGGGAGCAGGGTGAGACCGAGAGTCCCTTGTGACCAGCACTGGCAACTGCTATGTCAGGGTGAGATCCTCACTGCTGGGGAACATGTCTGCTGTTCACGCCTGCCCAGCCTTCTTATAATCACCCGCCACTGTTAGTGACCGAGGCCGCGACGCCACACTGTACCCTTTAAATCTCCAACAGGTCCGCTGGAGTGGGGGGCAGGAAAAGAAGAGGGGAAGGTAGGATGGAAGAGGGGAGGAGAGCAGAGGGAAAAGAGGGAGGGATAGGGTGCAAAGGAGAAAAGGAAGAAAAATTAAAAAGAGGAATGTGCCCAGAATACCGCCAGCCTGTGAGAAATTAAGGGCTCAGGAGATAGACCAGTGAAGAAGGCCAAACAAAGGCCAGGGGACACTGAGCAGAAAGGCAGCTGAGTGTCCCCAGAAAAGGGAAAGGCCCACCACAGCCTGTCTTGAGATGCTGGGAAGCCAGGCCCATAGGGTCAGGACAGGGAAGCTGGGCATCTGGCCAAGTACCAGGACCCTCAGGAAGGTAGAGCAGAACACCCACCCAATCTCTCCCCTCCCAGACCTTGCACTCACCTGAGCCTGGATCACTGGGTGGCACTGTCCTGCCAATGTTGGGCAGGAGGTATTCGATGTTGGGCACTGACTGTGGCTCTTTGTCATCCACAGGGGTCTGCAAACAGGAGGAAGGCTCAGTCAACTGTATTTCAGATAACCATCTGATAACCTCAGAATAGGGTGGCCTGATGACAGGACCCATGTTTCCTCAATAGGTGGCCCTCTTGAGAGCAGGCCTTACAGGTAAGTACTTGACAAAACTGGTCATCCTGTTTCCTATACCAGGATGGCATCCCAAAGGCTCCCTCAGCTTGGGGGGTGAGTGTCTTGTCTCTGCTATCAGACTGGACCATCCCACATCATTTAGTCTCACTATGCAGCCTGGAACAATGTAGTCTCACTATGTAGATCAGGTTGGTCTTGAACTCACAGAGATCAACCTACTTCTGCCTCCCAAGTGCTGGGATTAAAGATGTGAACCACCACACCTGGCTCTGTTCCACATTCTTGGACTGGAGGGCAGGGATTGCCTGTGTTTACTGGACTGGGTTTCCTCAGAGCTCAACCAGTATCTCCCCAATGTGACTGGAAGCTCTTGGGAAGGATTGTGTCTCCTCCATTACAATGATGGTGCCTTAGGCCAAGGACCCTTCTCTGCTGGAATCTTGCTGCCCACCCTAGACCAGACCTCATCTACCCTCCCTTCACTTACTCTTTCTCCTTTGTCCTCGTCATCACTGAAGAACCAGTCTGACTGCAGAGAAGACAAAGGACAGGGTGCAATCAGTAAGGTGAGAGCTGAGGCAAGACAGAGAGACAGACATTGCTTCTTCAGCCTGACTGCTAGAGGACCCACAGGCCCAAGGAGTACCCCTCGTTTGAATAAGCCCCCTGGAGAGAGGGCTCAGGAGGCTCTACAAAAACCCTTAGGGAGAGACAAGGTGGGACCTCTGTGTGGGAGAGAAACAGCCCTAAATTGGGGAGAGCCCACCACAGACAGGTGACAGTTTTATCACTAAACATTCCTGGGCTCAGCACTATGATGCACAACCCCCCTCCCCAACTACAGTCAGCCAAAAGGCCTAGGCAGCAGCGCCTTCTAGTGGAGGCCAGGAGCATTGACAAGAGAAAGCCAGGCAGCTGCTGGAGCTGAGCACACCTGGCAGGCAGAGCAGGCAGGGCAGGCAAAGCAGGTAGGGCAAGTGGCTTCCACATCCCTGGCTCCACACTGACAACTGGGCTGTCACACTATCCAGGAAAGGAATAAACCTGGAAACAGGTGTCAGGTTCCCTCAATGACAGACAGGCAAGAGCTTTCTCATAAATGCCAAATATGCCAGTTGTGGTGGCTCATGCCTGTAAGCTTGACATCTGGGAGACTGGGGCAGGAGAACTGCCATGAGTTCAAGGCCGGCCTAAGCTATAGTCAAGTTCAAGGCCAGCCAGGGCTACAGAATAAGACCTCGTCTTTAAAAAAAATATATCAAAGCAAAACAAGATAAAACATAAAGTAAAAACCTCACATTTGAGAATCTTTGTTCAGATTGCTTACAAATGACTAAGTTATCCAGAACTCGCAGCAGCACCAGGTGCAGAAGGACAAGGAAGTAGCGCTCTCTGTCTGAAAGAACAGCATCTTGAAACCAGATTTCTTTTCATTAAGATATTTATTTTTGCCAGGCGTGGTGGCACACACCTTTAATCCCAGCACTTGGGAGACAGAGGCAGGCGAATCTTTGTGAGTTCGAGGCCAGCCTGGTCTACATAGTGAGTTCCAGAATAGCTGGGGTCTGGGTCCCCCAAGACCCTGTCTCAAAAAGAAAAAAAAAAAAAAAAAAAAAATTAAAATAACCAATTCTTGGGATGACTCAATAGATAAATCTGAACTAGTGGACATACTTGGGACCTTACCCTCAACCATTAGAATGCAGTCCTTTGAACACACATGACTCATTTAAAAACCAAGCCTACCCTGGGCTACCATGGGACTCTCAATACTCCTCAGGGTCAGCCCTTCACAGTCAATGCTCTCTGCTCATAATGGCATGTTAAATAACAATAATTAAAATTTTTTTTTTTTGGTCTTTTTGAGACAGGGTCTCCCGGTAGCCCCAGCTATCCTGGAACTCACTATGTAGACCAGGTTGGCCTCAAATTCACAAAGATCCACCTGCCTCTGCCTCCCAAGTGCTGGAATTAAAGGCGTGAGCCACCACGCCCGGCTATTTTATTATTTTTATTTTATGTGTATGCATGTATTGCCTACATGTAGGTAAGTGCACCCGTGTCATGCAACATCTGCAGAGGACAGAAGAGACTGTCAGATCCCATGGAACTGGAGTTATGAACAGCTGTTAGCTGCCAGGTAGGTGCTGGGATTCAAACCTGGGTCTTCTGCAAGAACAGTCAGTGTTCTTAACCGCTGCGCTCTCTCTCCAGCCCCTGAGAAATAACAATAATTTTAAAAGAGCAAAAGCCCCCTCAAGTCTTCACATGTCAAGAAACATGCCAATGATATATATGTAGAGATGTGTAGCACTATATCACAATAAAAGCACTACACATAAAAACCCAGATGTCTGGGGCAGGAGAGATGGCTCAGCGGTTAAGAGCACTGACTGCTCTTGCAGAGGACCCAGGTTCCATTCCCAGCACTCACATGGTGACGAAGAACCATCCTTAACTCCAGTTCCAGGGGAATCAGACGCCCTCTTCTGACCTCTGCAGCATTGCACGACATGGGTGCACTCACATACATGCAGGCAGTACATTTGTACACATAAAAAATAAAAATAATAAGCCAGGCATGGTGGCACACACTTTAATCCCAGCACTTGGGAGGTAGAGGCAGGCGGATCTCTGTGAGTTC